GGAGAAATAATTACCTCGCAGCAAAAGCGTTTCATCGATATGTGGCACTCGTAATAACTTGGACCCCTATCTGCGTGGGTGTGTTTGCCTGCTCGGAGCCCTGAGGATGTCCGTGTTTGTCCAAAGGGGCAGGAGCCGCAGGAATTGGGTCGCTTAGAATCGTAGAGTCACAGAATGGTTTGGGTTGGAAGAGGCCTCAAAGATCATCCAGTTCCAGCCCCCTTGCTCTGAGCAGGGGCACCCTCCACTACATCAGGTTGCTCAAAGCCTCATCCAACCTGGCCTTGAACACTTCCAGGGATGAGACAGCCACAACTCCTCTGGGCAACTTGTTCCAGTGCCTCACCACCCTCTGAGTGAAAAATTTCTTGTCCAAACTTGGTTTTCTATTAAGTTGGACTTGCTTTTTTTTTTTTTTTTCAAGTGACTGTGTAATTGCAGACCAGCACGCAGTCTTTGTCACCTGGAGATCACAGCAGAGTGGTCATGGATGGCAGGATGGGTGGAACTGGATGATCTTTGAGGTCCCTTCCAACCCAAACCATTCCAGGATTCTGTGATTCTATGGAAAGGGTTCAACAAAGCCTTTGTGGACGGAAACGAACGATTCCACAATTAGCTAGTGAGGTCCTGCCGTGTTGCCGATTGCCAGCTGTTCCCACATTTGGGGAGCTTGTCAGGTTTTATCCCATGGCTGTTATTTGTTTAATGAAATGCTTTCATGCAAAAGTATTTCCCCTGAGTGGTGTGGTTCTAGGGTCTGTTTCCAGCCTACGTTTCTGTAGAAGAGGTGACGACATAATTCTAGGAGAGATAACCACCCTTTTCCAAGTGAGACTGAAATTAACCAGAAATTCAAAAGTTCCCAGGCAAGGACAATTGTCCATAAGCACAAGTCTGTCTTTTTGGGAGGCCAAACACAAAAATTAAATTCCAAATCCTGTCTATTTTTAGAGTTTTTCTGGAATGATCTGAAGAAACGTGTTGACCAAACACCAAAATAAAGTATTAATTGACCTTTTGTGTTAAAAGTGCTGGAAGTCCAGCAGCTTTATAGTTTCCTATTCGTGTTTTCTACCACAGTTTTCTTCTGGTGTTTGTGCTTCATGAGGGTGCAGTGGTGAAAGAAACGTCAAGTACTGAGTTTCTTAAAATTAAATCTGAATTTCCTCTTCAGTCTGTGGTTCTTGTGTCTTTTAAGGTGCAGTCGCTTTGTTTTGGGGTTCCTGTTATTTTTATCCCATTCCATTTAAGTGGGACGCAGAGCCCTTGTGTTTTGTTGGGAGTCCTGGAGTGGTAACCAATCACCTAGAGGCAGTAGTGCCTTAAATCACCCAGGATGTTTGTAAAGGAAAGGCGTTTCAAAGTATTAAAAAAGCTGGAAATTGGAAAAAAGTGTCAGTTGAACGTTGCTGGTCAGCAGCGAAACAGGCCACAGGACCTGCATGATTGTGACCACCACGTCTTTGTCTTTCGTTTTTTCCAAATAAATGTTACAGAAAATGAGGATTTAAAGGGAACGTGATGGTTTAATTTGCCTGTGTGCATTGAGACTGGAAACTGTGGCACTGTGTGGAGAGCACAGGAGGGTATTTCTGTGGAAATTTAATAGGCAGTGAGGAGGGTTACAGGTGGGTGATTGTAGACAGAAAACTGCTCAGTGGAAAGCAGGAGGCACGTCGGAGGTGAGCACTGCAGCGCTTACAGAAGTGAAGGAAACTTGTTAAGTGCAGCTGAGAGAGAGTCACTAAAAAGATACACAACCTCTGACAGGACAAGGGGCAATGGCTTTAAACTGGAAGAGGACAGATTTAGATTGGACATAAGGAAGAAATTCTTCACTCTGAGGGTAGTGATGCACTGGAACAGGTTGCCCAGAGAAGTTGAGGCTGCCCCATCCCTGGAAGTGTTCAAGGCCAGGTTGGATGAGGCTTTGGGCAACCTGGCGTAGTGGAGGGTTTCCCTGCCCATGGCAGGGAGGTTGAAACTGGATGATCTTTGAGGTCCCTTCCAACCCAAACCGTTCCATGATTCTATGATTCTTTCTCATTCCGAATGGCCAGATAAAAAAGCTGTATGCAAACCACCTCTTCGCAGTCGCAGAAATATCCCTAATTAATGACTCCCTGATAATGCCTAGGCCTGGTATGCTAAATATTTCTCAACGTTTCCTTTTAGGTGCGGTTTTGCAGGAGAAACAGGACCCAGATGCATTATTCCCAGCGAAATAAAGAAACCTGACGGCGCAAAGGTGAGCTGTTTTGCCTGAAGTGTTTCAGCTTTACAAGGTTTGGTGCGTTACGGCAGACAGAGGATTTGCAGATGTATTTTCTGTTCATCATAAGCCATTTCTCATTCTCTTCCAGCTGCTGCTGTTGAAAGATTGGGACTAGGTGCAAGTCAGTGTGATACCAGTGCTGCTGTTAATTGGTGCTTGTCACCCATCAGCTGGTGTTTGGGGCATTTATTGAGAAATTTCTTTGCCTGGCTGTGCTTTTTTTTTTTTCCTGGTAGAGGATGGCAGCTTTGGACAACTAGTGTTGAGATAAGTTACCAGTATGAAAAATTAACTTGAATAAATGATGGAGTTTAGTTCTAGGGTGAGTTTACGAGATGCATTGTTAAGGACATAGAGCAAATCAGGCAAGAGTGGGTATTTCTTTATATATGTCAAGTTATATATGTTCAGATATCATTTATTATCATATATGTGTTTCTTTATATATAATCACTGCCTATTACTTAAGCTGACTGGATGTTTTTACTTTACAGCCTGTCAAAGTTGTTCAGTACAATATTAATACAGAAGAACTTTACTCGTACCTGAAGGAATTTATCCACATGCTGTATTTCAGGTAAGAGGCATGTGGATGTGAGCTGTTCAGCCTTCCACAGCGCTTTTTGGAGCGCGTCGGGAGGTGTTCCATGTGCGTCTGGAGGCTGCTCCCTGGCAGAGCAAGGAAACAGGGACAAGGTTTTGCAGGTGGCTGCCTGGCTGTGCTCTTGCTGGAGAAACTCAGCGGTGCTGAGTTTCAGGCTGTATTACGAAGAGTTAGTGTGCTGCAGCACCAGCTGCTCTCCAGAAATAAAAAGTCTTTGATAAGTTGCCTTTGGGCTGTGGCACTCGTGGAGGGAAAAGTCGTCGCGTGAGGAGTTACACTATCCTGGTGAGCCTGAACCTCGTCTTGTGTTGGTGCAGGACTCGTCTCTACGTGACAACGGGCTGAAAGGAGGAATCTTAACGTGGAATATTTTAGCCAAGGAATACATCTTTGGCTTCTGTTTTTAGTACTATTAGTGAATAGTGAAGTTGGACTTAGCAATTTTCTCTTTACTTCCAATCCTTATTTTTACACAGTAAAAATCATTGTTTGACAAGGGGGAAACAAACACGTAATTTCTGGGCCTCAGCTGTTTCAGTGTGAGTTTTTCATGGTTTTTGTTTTTTTTTCCCCCTATCCTTTATGATTCTGTGAAATCAGGACAGTTGCACCCTTTTCCACTGCAATCAGGACATCCATATTGCCGTTCTTTCCCTTTTAGGGACACACTGGGTGACACTGGACGAGCTGTTAATGGCTATTCTGCATTCTTGTTTTTACATTTCTTTACATTAGTTTAGAAATGTGTAACAGATGTTCAGAACTACAGGCTGCTGGCAGAGAGCTCTATAACTTGTTTTCTCAGTTTCCTAACTTTCTTTTCGATTTTTTTTTTTTTTTTTAATTTGAAGAAGACGACTTTGGGATCTGCTGTAGAAAATGCAATCTAAATGCAAATTATTAGGATTTTTGAGGAGAATGTAATATGAAAATGAGGTAGTCTCATAATACATGCTTAAACTTACCAGTTTTGTTTTGCACACTTTGCCTTTTTCAGACACCTGCTGGTGAATCCCAGAGACCGCCGTGTTGTCATCATAGAATCTGTCCTGTGCCCGTCACACTTCAGAGACACGCTCACCAGAGTCCTTTTCAAGCACTTTGAGGTTCGTGTTCTGCACAGCTGGTGATGGTGCTCAGTGCAGCACTTGCTGGGAGAAATTTCACTTGGGATCGCGACGAAATGTGGACAAAGAAATGGAATTTATGCCAGAAGAGTGAGAGGCATAGTGGAGATGAAAAAAAGCTGGTGGTGGTCTGGGGAAGTAGAGGTTGGAGATTCCCTGTTTCATTCTGCCTCCTCATGAGGCCACAAAACAGGAGCCATTAACAAGAATCTAAAAGGTTTCTCTGGCTTGTAGGAAAAGAACAGCTCAGACCATGCTCTTCCAGATGGATTCAATAATCCCCACTGAGCACTGCCTGAAGCCAGAGTTTGTATTTAAACACTTTTTAGTGCTCTGTCAGCAAGTCTCACGACTTCTACCAGCATCAGTAGCTTTGCCTAGCACGTGATCTGACCCCTGGCTGTGCTCATTTAGATAAGAGCTTACCTGAAATTTATTATCTCTTCTGCTTAATCAGCCTTTTTGAAGAAAAGTCTGAACCTGATTCTTGCTTAGTTGTAACGGAAAATGTTTTAGAGGGTGAATCCATAGTTTTTCAATTCAGGTAGAACAAAGATTAAGGCTCTTCTCTAAAAAGTGGTGGAACTAGTTGGTCTGCAGTACTTCTTCACTGTGCTTCCACAATGCTGTTTACTAACTAATCTTAAAACTTCCGCATAGTTCTTTTCTACTATTGATAAAATTTTCTGATGACTTGAAATTGCTGAAAGATTTGAGTCTTTTTTTTTTTTTCCCCCTAATCCCCTTACAGAAAAAACAAAGTCTCACATAAAGCACTCCCATGCAAATGTGGTTGTCCAAAGTGACTCATGACTTGGCCAGTCATATTTGGATGGAGAGACTTTGCAGCTTGTTAAGAAGTTGATGCTGGTGTGAGGTTAAATCTTTCTGGCTGATGCTTCCGTTTGGTCTGAAGAGTAAGAGTGATGTGTTAGTACAGCATCCATGTTATAACTTGTATCCCTGGGCTAAATATCAGAAATGTTGCCCTTAAATGCAGGATTTAGTGAAGGAGCTCATTTAATTCACACTTTACGGTGTGATATTCATTAAAGGAACTGTTACTATTTAGGAAACTTGATCTGCGGAATTCTGGGAGAAGGAAGTAACTCCCATGTAATTCTGACTTGAATTTCCGCATTGCTTTTTGGAGAGAGTTTTAAACAGCCTCTGCTGTGAGGTTGTGGGCAGCAGCATGTTGTCATGTGGCACACTCCTGTGGGTTGTCTGGCACCTTTGCTGGCGTCTTCAAGTCGTGATATAACACTTCAAAGAGCTGTGGTTTAGCTTCTTTGATTTTGATTTTGGTTTCTTTGATTTCTTTTTGGTGACAATAAGAAACCTGATCTCTGACCTAATGTGAGTTCTGCAGTTAACACTTGATTTCCTTACAAGCCCATTCCAAGCTTCATTATTACTGAAGTAACTGGTAGGTACCACAAGTAAGATAAACATAGAATTTAGAATCCTGTCGTATTTTGTTTGTTCCTACACTAACTTAAAAACTAAACTAAAAATGGATACCTCAAGACACACTTTTTTGGGGTTTGCTTTTAATACGACATTTGGGAAAAGCATCAATGCTTTGCATGTTGGTTTCTTTTCCTTCTTTTGTGAATTGTACCCTTGGTTTCCATGTAGGTACCTTCTGTTCTGTTTGCTCCAAGTCATCTGATGTCTCTCCTGACACTTGGGATCAATTCTGCCATGGTGCTGGACTGTGGATATGCAGAAAGCTTGGTGCTACCTGTATCCTTTAAGAATATAGAAACAAAATTTTTGGCAGTTAAGACTGTCATGACCAGATGATATTTTTATGGGCTTTAAATGTAATAAAAAGTAGTAAGAACAGATTGGCGAGTCCAGCTTTCGGCTATAAGACACCGTGACTTGGGGGATCTCTTCATGGCTGACGTGCTGAATCTGTGTTCCCCTGGAAACTGGGGAGGGGGGTTTGTGACTCTCAAGCGGTTCGTAACTCCAGCGTTTATGTACTAGAAATTAGTTTTGGAGAAAAGCAGTTAGAAAGTGTTTCCGATAGCTACTGCAAGACGTCGGTGAAGGGAAAAAACATTTCGTTCCAGCAGACTGAAAACTCTTAACAAAAAAGGAGAATTTCCTGACCTTCACGTAGATATATGAGGGAATCCCAATTCTGAGCTGCTGGGGTTCTCTTCCTCTGGGTGGAAAGGCTATTCACAAGTAAGTTCACAGCTACATGTTGCAGGTGACCGATGGTTTGTTTGTGAAGGTTCATCTTTGACTAACGAGCAAATATTCCTGCCGAACGGGACTGAAATCAGAACTGTTGCTGTGCTGGCAGCCGAATTTTAAAGTGACCACTGTCTGGCTTTTGTCGATGCAGTAAAAGCTGTGGAAATCAGATGTGCTTCAGTTTATGTTTAGAAGAATGTAGCTGAAGCAAATAAATACCGTCCCTGTAAGCATAATGTAGAGAATCAGCCTGAGTTAACAGCTGCCTTTGACTAACTTCATGTGCAACGTTTTAGGGAGCTGGAATATCAGCTGTTGGAGCAGTGCACAGTTGATACAGGATTAGCCAAAGGACAAAGCCTTCCATCTGTGATGGGTAAGGTCTGTTTGATGGGACATACGCTGTCAACTTGCACTGGGGAAAGTGGATTGACACTAGCAGTGAATAAAATGAGTTTGGTATTCACTGCATCTTATGGGATCTACTTTCAGGATTTCTTTCTCTGTATTTAACAGATACATCATTTTTACGTTAAGCCACTCATAACAGCAGGTTTGAATGAAGGCTGAGATAAAAGTTCTGCAGTATTTTTTCAGTCTGTTTTGAGAGAAGACAAACCCTTTATTTCTGTTCTTAGTATTCTTTCTTCCTTAGAAATCTTTAAAAGCTGCTGTCAAAGTGAAACTTTCATGTACTAAATGTAATTCAAACTTAGTAACTTACATGTACTAAATGTAATTCAAATTCAAATTCCTAAATTCTTTTGTTCTAAGTAATTTTTTTTCTATTTCAGGCTCAGTTCCGGAAGACATAGTAGAGGATATAAAAGGTAAAATTTTCTGCTTCGTGAAAGTCTAGTTTATTAAATTGTGCAGTAGAGTATGATAACAACAAGTGTGCAATACTTTACATTTAGGCATTTATTTTATCCTCTCTGTTTATCGTATTTCTTACCTACTGGAAGTATTTGCAATGTTTTTCCTCTTTGAAAGCAAAACCAGAACCATGTTGAATTCCTCTTTCAAGTTTAGCCTATGTGTCATTAAGATGTAGGAGGGAAGGGACGCCATCCAGAGGGACCTTGACAGGCTGGAGAGGTGGGCCTGTGAGAACCTCATGAAGTTCAACAAGGCCAAGTGCAAGGTACCTAAGACTCAGAGTTAGCAGATCTAACATTCAAAGCCTGTTACAATAGGTATGTTTTGGTTGCAAATGCAGCATTCAAGCAGCCTTAACATCATGACATAAGAATATTTTAAGTTAATTTTGTTTGTAAATTAACTAGGAAGGTTTGATTTCCCTTAAAGTCAGTTTTGCAAAAAAACAAAGCATGTGTAAAAGACATTTGGGTGTGTTGATCAGGTAGGCAAGATGAGTCAAGGACTACATTTACACCAGAAAAAAGTAGAGTCTTATCTTTGGGCAGAACTTGGATGAATGCCTATGTAAGGTTTTGTGTGCAACACATTTAAAAATATACATAATTGTAGAAAATAGCAATGAGTGTATATCTCTTGGGCCAAATTAGGAAGAAATCATAGAATCATAGAATGGTTTGGGTTGGAAGGGACCTCAAAGATCATCTAGTTCCAACCCCCCTGCCATGGGCAGGGAAACCCTCCACTACGCCAGGTTGCTCAAAACCTCATCCAACCTGGCCTTGAACACTTCCAGGGATGGGGCAGCCACAGCTTCTCTGGGCAACCTGTTCCAGTGCCTTACCACCCTCTGAGTGAAAAATTTCTTCCTTAGATCTAATCTAAATCTGACCATCAGTCAAAATACAAATCAGTCAAATGTATTTGACAATCAGTCAAATACAAAATAACTTAAATGCAGCTGGTGCTTTGTTGAATGAAAGTGGCTTTTCTGTTTCCTGGACTTGAACAGAATTTTCTGATCAGTTCTGGTTTTCTGCAGTCTTTTGGAACCAGATACAACGTGCTAGAGTTGAAATTATGGCTGCCTGTGTACTGAAGGGTTGTTTCTTTGTGACAGCCGTTGATGAAGAAGATACAAATAAATTAACTATATAGTAACACTGTCGACTGGAATACAAATGGAATTGTGCTCTGTCAGCGTTGCCTGGATCAAAAAGAACCCTCTGGAGTTCTTGGGGCATTGAGGAGTTGCACCAGGGAAAATACTGCATGATTACAGCTTGCCTGACAAATGAGCAATGTCTCATTTGAAGCCAAGGTGCAAAATGCGCAGTGGTGTGTTTGGCAGCAGAATACAACCACTGGCACCTTGTGGTAACCAAAGGCATGATTAGTAACATCCCTCTGTCTTCAAATCTTATCTAGGTCGTCTGAGAGAAATCTTGTCTGTCCTAGCATAGTTTTGGTGTCAGCTTCGTTTAAACTCGTGGTCTAGGTAGCGTCTGAACCCTGCTGCAGTATGGAGACTATTATTTTTGCATTTGTTTGATAACATCTTGGACCAGCAAGGCCCTAAAGTGTGGGTTCTTCTTTAAAGTAATCAAAATTATTGTCTGTATTGGTGTTGAAAGGATCCAACAGAGTCTCTTTTCTGCCCCTTCCTTTTCTTTTATGAAGTTCGCACTTGTTTTGTGAGTGATCTCCAACGGGGACTGAAAATCCAAGCAGCCAAGTTCAACATTGATGGCAGTGCTGAGGTGGGTGGAGGATGCAGCTTATCCTAGTCTCTTGAACTGAATGTAGCCTTTCTGGCATCTAAAATAACACATGCATGTTTTTATCTCTAGCGTCCTTCACCGCCTCCAGACGTGGACTATCCTTTAGATGGAGAAAAGATTCTCCATGTAGTTGGTCCCATCAGGTAAGAAATACCGTAGCAGAGTGTTTATCTTTAGGAGGATATATTTTCAACTCTAAAACCACATATGTTTTCATAAAATTGAATTTTAATAAAACACTTGCATACGCTTTTAATGTCTCTTAAAGGACAGAAGAAGTTGTGATGTGTTGCCAGCAGGAAGTCTGTGGTCATTGCCAGCCCTGCTGTTCCAGGTGTTAGCTCCCTGTGTCCTGTCGCTTCTCTTTAACATAAATTTCCTGTCTTTTCCACAGAGACTCCGTGGTGGAGATACTGTTTGAACAGGATAATGAAGAGACATCTGTTGCCACTTTGATCTTGGATTCACTCATTCAGGTATCTTTATATTTAATACAATTTATTGAATACTTGCAGCCTTGGAGACCCTGCTGTTATAAATCATAGAATCATAGAATGGTTTGGGTTGGAAGGGACCTCGAAGATCATCTAGTTCCAACCCGCCTGCCATGGGCAGGGAGACCCTCCACTACACCAGGTTGCTCAAAGCCTCATCCAACCTGGTCTTGAACTCTTCCAGGGATGGGGCATCTACAACTTCTCTGGGCAACCTGTTCCAGTGCCTCACCACCCTCTGAGTGAAAAATTTCTTCCTTGTATCTAATCTAAATCTTCCCTCTTTCAGTTCAAATCCGTTTCCCCTTGTCCTGTCAGTACATGCCCTTGTAAAAATTCCCTCTCCAGCTTTCCTGTAGGCCCTTTAAGTACTGGAAGGCTGCTATAAGATACCCCGGAGCCTTCTCTTCTCCAGCTTGAACAGCCCCAACTCTCTCAGCCTGTCCTCATAGGAAAGGTGCTCCAGCCCTTGGTTCATCTTCGTGGCCCTCCTCTGGACTCGCTCCAGCAGCTCCATGTCCTTCTTGTGTGGGGTACTCCAGAGCTGAACACAGTATTCCAGGTGGGGTCTCATGAGAGCAGAGCAGAGGGGCAGAATTCCCTCGCTGGACCTGCTGCCCACGCTGCTTTTGATACAGCCCAGGACACGGTTGGCTTTCTGGGCTGCCAGCGCACATTGCCGGCTCATGTTGAGCTTCTCATCCACCAGCACCCACAAGTCCTTCTCCTCAGGGCTGCTCTCAATCCATGCTCCGCCCAGCCTGTACTTGTGCTTGGGATTGCCCCGACCCACGTGCAGGACTTTGCACTTGGCCTTGTTGAACTTCATGAGGTTCTCACAGGCCCACCTCTCCAGCCTGTCAGGGTCCCTCTGGATGGCATCCCTTCCCTCCAACGTGTCCACAACACCACACAGCTTGGTGCCATCTGAAAACTTGCTGAGGGTGCACTCGATCCCACTGTCCATGTCACCAACAAAGATGTTAAATAGCACTGGTCCCAGTACTGACCCCTGAGGAACACCACTCGTCACTGGCCTCCACTTGGACGTTGAACCATTGACCACAACTCTTTGAGTGCGACCATCCAGCAATTCCTTATCCTACGAGTGGTCCATCCATCAAAACCATGTCTTTTATGAAAAAAAAGATCTAATTACTCCAGAAATGACTCTTTCTAGAGTAACACCCTTCTGACTGCAGGTTGTGATTAGTTGCAGAAGTATGGCGTGGCATGACTCCTAGGCTTCTGCCACACGATGAATTTCTGTGGGATGGGAAGTCCCCACGTGTCGTCCGCTCTCTGGTTGTTCTCTGATTCTTTGGTGTACCACAGCTTGTCTGGGACAGTTTTCTGAGAAACGCAGTGCTCACCCCTCAGCAAAAGTAATAAACCAGCCGGTGTTTTTCTGGGAGTGAGGGTCTAGGTATGCAATGCCGAAGGAGGAGGTAGTAGTCGGTGTTACAGGAATTACACTGCTTAAACTGAAATGGCACAGGTATTCTGTTTCTTCTTTTTTCAAGGTGTTTTGCTAAAAGTTAGACTTTGAGTCCTGCAGGTGGCTGGTTTACCTGAGATAGAATAAAATTAATTTGAATGTCTCTATTACAGGCAGTATATTAGATATATTATGGAAAATTTTCTTGGCTTATACAGACCGTTCATTTCTTATTATATTTAGGAAAAAATTTATTAGAAAACCACTATAAATGGAAATTTTCATTATATGGTGGTATATGTATGTTAATTAAAGTTGACTTCCCGTAGTTATTGGTGCCGTTTAAATTAGTTTGCTCAGACATAATTTATTGGAGAGCCATAGACTTGGATGACATGACAAACATTTCCATTAGAATTCCTTATGAAAACAAATTGTTTAACAAGATCTGTGCCTGGACCCCTCTCCTCTGTACCTCTAGGAGTTTACTTTGCATCGCTCTTTGGCCAGAGGAAAGACAAATGTTAAATTTACAAGCGTTAAATAGCGTCCAGTTAGTTCCGCTGGACAAGAGGACCGCAGCAGTGTGGAATTTTTTCCAGAGGCATAGCACAGATCTGTTTGTGGGGGGTGGAGCTGACAAAGCTTGGCGTTCTTGTGCCTTTGTGTCTTCTACTTGGATTATCTGATGCCTGAGGCAAGATCCAGCAGAAGCCTGGAGACTTTTGTAGCACCTTTCTCCCGTGTGGAGCTACAAGAGTCAATCTCAGAGGTAACAGTTTACCCCCTCTGAGAGCACCGGTTGAGGCTTCATCTCTCTCTGGCACATCCTGTCCCAGAACTCCTGGGAATTACCATCACTGGCACCTTTATCCTCTGTTGTCTGGACCTGTCGCAGCTGAAGGGTGTCACAGGGACTCATGGTGTGCTCACGTAAGCCTCAGCTGGGCGCTTCCTTGAGCCTGGTTTTCTTGGGAAGCCTGGGGACAAAAACATGTCGGTTATGTTTCAGCTAAGTATGAGAAAACAGCGGTTGAAGTGACTGAATTTCTGACGGACCTTTGAATGTTTGTTCGTGCAACTGCGGCTCAAAGTGTTGTGTTTTTTTATCCCTGTTTGCTTTAGTGTCCCATAGACACCAGGAAGCAGTTGGCAGAGAACTTGGTAGTTATTGGTGGCACTGCCATGTTGCCAGGATTCCTTCACAGGCTCATGGCTGAAATCCGGTACCTGGTGGAGAAACCAAAATACAAAGAAGTGCTTGCTACTAAAACCTTCCGAATCCACACTCCGCCTGCCAAACCCAACTGTGTGGCCTGGCTGGGAGGTAAGAACGGAAACAACTGGAAAGCAAAGGCACAGAGTGGAAAAACAAACCTTCCAAGTGGGATTTGTAGTGAATAAAAACCAGTAATACTTGGGTGAACTATTGAAATTGGGCTGCGTTGGAGCTCTGTGGAGTTGTGATGCCCTCCTGGAAGAAGTCTTGTGGAGTAAAGCTCCCTCAGGGCCATTTAGGGGGCAGGACTGCAGGTTGTGGGAGCTTTGGAGAGGTGATGTGCAGTTGGAAACAGGTGTGGAAGATGGGTGTTGACTCAAGTGCAGTACAGGGCTAGCGCCATACGGTGGCACCAGCAAAGTGATTAGGAAGATCTGCTTATTAAAAACCGAGTTTAATTATGGACTGAGGAGCTGTGAGCTGTGGAGAGGCTGGAGGCTGCGAACTCCTTGTGCTGTTCCCAAGTGCCAGTCGCAAACACAGCAACTCTGCAAAGGATTTTGGCTGCTGTTAGGGACGAGGAAGGGCTTTCTGTTGCTAGCAGCTCCTTTAGGGAAGGTTCTGAGGTTGGTAAGAATTCCTGCTTTTCTAAACTTCCCATTAATAAGCTGAGCCCATCTGGTCCGTTTGAGGAACTGACTTTAACTGTAAAGGTAGATTTTATTTCCATATGCTTTGAATTGTAAATGTTTATCAAATTTTAGTTCTAAAACCTTTTGAGTCTTCTTTTAGGATTAGCAAAAAAGAATGATTTGTGTGCACCGTGTTCTCTGGTGCTTTTCTTCACTGGCAGCACTGGTCAGCTGCTGTGGTCTGAACCTTCTCACAGCTTGTGTGAGCTTACAGGGATTGTGTGACACCCTTTTTGGGGAGAGGACATTTCCTTAAACACAAAGTGGTTTGTTTGAAGTGTTTAAAATCAAAACTTCTAGGAAGTTTTGTTGTCAGCAGCAGGTCAGCTAGGCCAGTTTTGTGTCAGCGGAGACTAGATGATTCTTTGCTGTCAGATACTTTTTCAGAGGACACAAATGGAAGCAATTTGGGACTAGCTGAGCTACTGAAAAGGAAAGTGGTTAGATCCTTTCATTCCTTTAAGTTTTGGGGCGGAGCTAAAAAAGAATAGTGGAGATTCTTGTTGGGAAGAAGTAGAAAAAGAAATTCAGTACGTCAAATTAACGCAACTTTTTTTTTTTTTTCCAATAATGCAGGAGCCATTTTTGGAGCACTTCAGGACATACTTGGCAGCCGATCTGTGTCCAAAGAGTATTACAGCCAGACAGGCCGCATACCTGACTGGTGCTGTCTTAATAATCCTCCACTGGAAATGATGTTTGATGTTGGAAAAGCTCCCCCACCGTTGATGAAGAGGGCTTTTTCTACTGAGAAATAAGCACCTCGATGCCACACAAGGATTCTCCTTGTCTGTTTCAAGTAGATACATATAGGCATTGGCTCTTTTTTTTTGTATTAATTTGTGTGTAACACTATTAAATATGAACAGTGTGGATGTTTTGGGGGAGTATGGTGGTAGGTACTAACACTGTTTCAAACCACATCCAGTTGCAGTTTAAAAACTTAACTCTGGCAACTACTATGCTATTTTGTCCTCTTCCAAAGAAATTCTGTGCTGTCATGAGCTGTAGCCTACTGAGTTGTTTGTTATTTATCTGTACAGTAAAAGACATCATTGAGAGAATTTGTTGTAAGATATTTTAAATATGCTTAGAAGAATGAAAGACAGTCTACTACGGGAAACATCTATGGAAGCTTTTCTGCCACATCCTGTATTAAAGTATTCCACTCTTGAATTGCATGTGAGGAAATGGTTTGGGGCTGTTTAGCAAAGGTGCTGGAGCAGTACTTCCCCTGGACACTGTCCTGTTTTGAGAGTTTTAGCAGAGAACTCTTCTACCTTTAATTCTCAAATAGTTCTGAGGTAGCAACTCCTCCCAGGATCTCTCCTCAAAGAAACCACGTAAGAATAATGAGTGCAAGGAAATCTTGAGTCTGTTACTGAAATGTCAACCTCAGAAGTCACTTCTTTGCTGTCCTTCCCACCATCAGAAATATTAAACTTCATTATCTCACAGCAATATGTGTTAAATGAAAATGCAATATGGAGTTCATTGCTTAAGGAGAAAAGGAAAAGTACATTTGGTTATTAATCATAGAATCACAGAATGGTTTGGGTTGGAAGGGACCTCGAAGATCATCTAGTTCCAACCCCCCTGCCATGGGCAGGGACACCCTCCACTACGCCAGGTTGCTCAAAGCCTCATCCAACCTGGTCTTGAACACTTCCAGGGATGGGGCAGCCACAGCTTCTCTGGGCAACCTGTTCCAGTGCCACCAACACTATGTTCCAGTGCCATTAACACTGTGTTTAGGAACTGTTGAGTGATTAGTAGGCTCTTAGCAATGCCATAACTTTACATACTGTAGGAGAAGGAGGGCTCCTGTGGGAAAACAGGCACATGCACTTTGTCCTGCTGCCAGTGCTGCTGTTTTGGGTTTGTCATGATTCCCACTATGCTTCCGTAATAATGCTGTGAGTTCACTTCTCCTGCAGAGCTGTGGCTCCTGGTGGGCACTCCAGACAGTGCCAGTGCATGTCAACAGTGTCGCATCTTGGGAGAGGGATTTTCCCTGGACTTGGGTACCGCTGACCTTGCCGCCAACGTGCCGAGCTTGGCTTGCTGGCTAAATGGTCACTCTGCTGGTTGGTTACTGAGGTTTAAATCCGACTCTGAGGAGTAATTGTTTATCTCAAATCTGAGGAGATACGCATACATATAAAAAATTTTGGGGGATGATGGAGGTGGTGGAGTCTTCTACTGCCACAAACATGCTTTTTGTGATTGATTTCCCCGTGCTGTGTGGTAACTGCCTGCTGTGGTTCCTGAACCAAGTTTCTTGAAGTTAAGCATATATTTAAAGAAATGTTCTTGTAGTGAAACTGAACACAGGGCAGTATGCGGTGGGATTTAAGTAAGCTCCTGCACAGTTTTGTCATTCCACTTCATTCCATATGTTTTACCTTAACATACAGTGTTGGTTGGCACATGGTGGGACATACTCTTTTTTTATCTTAATGGTTTTCAAATTAAAAAAACTCAAACAACAAAAAACAGGAATTGCTGCTTAAAGTGCTAGTCTGTCATAGGTGAGACTTTGCTGGTTGGTAACAGTGATCTGATGGTATCACCATGGATGGTTTCTTTCCAGAGGTGCTGATGGGTGCTGCTTTAAATTGCCTTTTCCTACTTCAAACGTGCTGTATGGCAGACAACATAGAAAGATAAACAGGTGTGGTTGTGAGTAGTTGATAATGGTTGTTTTATAGTCCTGGGATGAGGTTAGTTGGTTGTTTTATAGTCCTGAGATGAGGTTGGTCTTTTAGAGATCATTTCTTAGCCCTCAGAGCACGATGGGGCCTGGCCAGTTCCTCTTTGCACTGACGTGAGAGCCTCCAGTCCAAACCCTTTCTGGGTTTCCAGGTCAAACAGGTTGCAGTTACCATACACAAGAGCTTTTCTGCAGCAGCCTGAGGATGAGGATGGTATGCTGTGATGCAGGAACAGGTTCTTCAAAATGTACCGTGTTGTGTTCTCTCTGCCGGGCCTGGACTTGGAAAAATGGATTAAACACTGTAGCTGGGTACGTGTATTCCTGTTGTGTCTGGTATTTTGCATTCTTTTGCATCTTAGGGTTGCTTATTCTGTAAGTCTACAATCCTTGAATGGTTTAATATCCTTGGGGATGTTCATTCCCCAGCAGAGTCCTCAAATACCAGCATTCTCCTTGTTTTCTTGAGCGTTCGGAACCTTCACTCTAAGTTGTTCCCCCTTACCAAGCCCTTTTTATCTCCCCAGCAGCGAGACTGAGGACCACATGGTTGCGTGCAAGTCGAGAGTGTCCACTCGAGCAGAGCCCTGCCATGCAGTACACTGCTCTACGCTGCTTGGCTGCGCTGCCCCTCCAGAGCCGTCCTCCCAAGGTGTGACGCCTGCCGTGCTGGGTGGGAGACAAGGATCCAGCTGCTTCTGTCAAGAAAAGCTGTGGGTGAGGTCTGGTTCGTACAGGGCTGGACAAAGGAGGAGCTATGGAATCAAGTACTTAGTCCGTGAGGTTGACCTGTCTGGAGCAGTCTTTGGTAGGGATTGGGGATATGAGAGAGCTGGGGCTGTTCAGCCTGGAGAAGAGAAGGCTCCGGGGTGATCTTCCAGCAGCCTCCAGTACTTAAAGGGGGCCTACAAGAAAGCTGGAGAGGGACTTTTTACAAGGGCGTGTAGTGATAGGACAAGGGGAAATGGCTTTAAACTGAAAGAGGGGAGATTTACATTGGATATAAGGAAGAAATTTTCACTCTGAGGGTGGTGAGGCACTGGAACAGGTTGCCCAGAGAAGTTGTAGATGCCCCATCCCTGGAAGTGTTCAAGGCCAGGTTGGATGAGGCTTTGGACTACCTGGCGTAGTGGAAGGTTTCCCTGCCCATGGCAGGGGGGTTGGAACTAGATGATCTTTGAGGTCCCTTCCAACCCAAACCATTCTGTGATTCTATCAGTAGGTTTTTGAGTGACTTCAGAAAGTGTATATGATTGCAACAGTTATACTTAATAAAGCAAAATGGATAAAACTGCAGTTTTTGGAGACCAGCCTGCTAGATCCTCGTTCTTAACTTGTTCCCAATACTGGCTTGCTAAATAGACGATATTTCATTGCAAAGCGCAGAGGGCTGTCCTTAGGCCTGGGTTTAGAACATTCAGACCCAGCCTCTGCTGCTCATTTTCATTTTAATTTGAGTAATTGGGATGCAGTTCCCTGACTCAGACTGTACTTTCCCTCAGAGCCTACTGAGGCTTGCTCCTGAAAGACTTTGCCATCAGCACGGGTCCCGCAGATCTGGGAGGGATCACTCATGCCCGTAAGCAGTTGTCAGTGGGCAGGATATTCAGGGAGATGGGACTCCTGCGGAGCCTGTGTTCGCGGTGGTGCAATGATGTCATTTTCCTGAACTGCAGCAGGCTGCAGCTGAGGAGATTCAGGATATTCTTAGCCCTTCCTTTTTCGGGGATATTTCTGTGCTGCTGTGCGTGTGTACCCTGGGACCTTTCGCAAGCCCGGCATGTTGTGCCACCTCGTCTTCGTTCTGCCCGCTGTTCTCTTCTCCTGTGGGATTTCTGCATCCCTGAATGGCTTCGACAGCTGCTGTTTCACACTGCATGGCTAAAAACCCGAACTCCTGTGCTGCTGGCACGTTTAAGCCAGAGTCTCATGACCCATTAAGGACAGAAAACAGCCTTCTTATTTCATCGAAGGGGCAAGGAAGGACCATTCCTTGCTTTTCAGAATGACTGGCCCTGGAAAGCCCTTAGAGATCACACCTGAAGTGTGGTATCATGTAGAAAGGGATTTGGCTTATTTTTTTTTTTAAGCCTAAATGTCATTCCTCCCTCCCTGGCATGGAAGGGATCCGTGGATCCTCACAGCAGGCAAATTCACAGTGAACTCCAGTGTTTTATCAGGACGGACAGTGACCGACACAAACCCCTGCTGTAACTGCAGGTTTTTCCTCTGAAGTTCCCGATTCGGGACCGGATGCCGTTCCTGAAGGTTGGCGTTAGCCAATTGCAAACGGCTCCAGCTGAGCTGAGTCCTGCTGAGAGAAGGAATAGTTTGGAATATTCACGAGCACGGCCCCTTCCAGTCTGCCCAGTGCCAGCGCTGTGACTGTGGGAGCAGGTGTCTGGGGAAGGGGCTTTGACTCGTTCACCTCATCTCCCTTTTCACAGAATCATAGACCATCTCAAGTTGGAAGGAACTCCTAAGGATGTCCGAGTCCAACTCCCTGCTCCTCTCAGGACCACCTAAAACTAGACCATGTGGCTAAGAGCCTTGTCCAGGCGCTCCATGAACTCTGCCAGGCTTCGTGCCATGGCTGCTCCCCTGAGGAGCCTGTTCCAGTGACCGACCACCCTCTCAGTGAAGAACCTTTTCCTAACGTCCAGTTTAAACTTCCCTGATGCAGCTTCATTCCGTTCCCTTGTATCCTGTCGCTGGTCACCAGAGAGAGATCAGCACCTCACAGTCCCATTTAGCGTTCGTTACAACCGCTGCAGAAATTATCCAGGTTATGGGCGCCATGGCACGTTTCTTTCAGGAGCTTCTCTCGTCCCCCCGGAGCGGGGAGTGAATTCTCCTCAGAGTTCCGCCGGCGGACGCGGCGTTTTCCCGCGCAAAGCCCGTCAAAAGCGAAGGGCACGAAAAACATCATGCGCCCAACGTGGGGCTCGAACCCACGACCC